GGCACAGTAAAGACGTTTACTGTAAATCTTTCTACGACAGACCAACGGACCACGAGTGCCCCTGTCGGTCAACCAATCACGTACCGCGGTACCGCGAGTCATCTTGAGTCAAAATGCGCGACGCCGTAGCCAATTACCTCCGGTACGTGTCTGAACCGCGCACTTTGAATGGCTGCATCTGTATGTGGAGGCCCCTGTTCATTTCAGAAAAGCACGACATGGACCATGCAAACTGGTCTGCATGACACATCTAAAGCCTGATCTCCCACCCTTTGTCAATATCAAAAAACATGTTCAGGTGGGTGAAGAACCACACCTGAAGAAGGCTCCACAGCCAAAATGTGTTTTTTCTCTCTTCTTTTTTTCAGCATGGAATAAACCTATTACTTGTTCCATCAAAAAACATACTGCATACAGAAAGAGTTGCACCCAAACACCAAAGTAATAACAGGGAATAAAGCATGCCCTTTAGGGAGGAGCTGCTATATTCTATACATTTACATTCACGTCCTCACTTTGCTTTTCATCATAACAGTTCATAAGAACAGTTAAGACACCAGACAACATTTCTTCATGAGTTATGATTTTACATACAAAAATGATGTTTGCAACTATACTTTGTAATATTTTACATATTGTATAACCCTTTTAAAATTACACATTTAAACTTTTTTCATGTTTTATTTTAACCTGTGAATAGACTGTTGCAAGATAAGTAAGAGAACTGCAGAAGACATGGGGCTCACGTCAGTTTACACATCTGCAACTTTTATTTAGGCACCATGCATTCTTAAAAGGTTTCATGGCTTCAAAATGCTTGTATTTTGCCTTTTTTAATAATACTATTTGCTTACACTTATATAGCAATTTTCTGGCCACTCCACTCAAAGCATTTTATAGGGAATGGGGACTCCCCTCCACCACCACCAATGTGCAGCACCCACCTGGATGATTTGCCATATGGTGCCAAAATGCTCATCTTACAAATGCCCTGGAATTTCTAATGACCACAGAGAGTCAGGACCTTGGTTTAATGTTTTATTCGAAGGACAGGGCCTTTTCTGGCCCTACTGACATCTCTTCCAGCAGAAACCTTAGCTTTTCCCCAGTAGGTCTCCCCAGGTACTGGCCAGGCTCACACCTGCTTAGCTCAGTGGGTTGCCAGTTGTGCATTGCTTTTTCATACTGTATAGTTGTAAAATGCAAGATTTGTTAAGTGAGATGCAAATGAAATTATTAAAAATCTATTATAAAACACTTTTTTCTATACATAAAAGCACACAACATCAGTGGTATCAGTATGAAAATTTATTATAAGTAGTCTTACCTTTTTAATGTGATGGATGAGCCTGCTTTTTTGAGCAAAGTTCAGTGAAGTGAGTTGTAATGTTTGTCAGTGTAAGCCTCAGGTCAGGCTTAAGTAATGTGAATAAATTACAATGAATAAAACCTTTTTTTTCTTCAGTGCTAGTATTGTTATAAAAGAGGGGTTATGAAAATGGAGGAATCAGGTACTGATTAAGTGGATAAATCATAAAGTAAAATATCATAACCCACAACACGTAAACTGGATTTCTGCCAAGACTATACAGTTATGGTGAAAATGGTCATTCAGGCTTGGTTAAATAAATATTTATTAAAACTGACAATGAAACACACTAGACTACACACAACATAAACATACAACACACAGGGTTCCCTATGCACTGTACAAGTTTACATACAAGACATTTCAGAGACCTAGGTCTGGATCACCCAGAAAAATCCCAGTCTGTCACCAAGTATTGACTCTTAATGCCTACAAATAAGACCACAGTTCGAGATAAGATGCCTTCTAAACTAAGTAGAATACAACCTACAGTTAAATCTCTCTCTGCAATCCCAACTGCCACAGAATAAATGGAAACCTACTGTATTTCCCTATTCTAACATACACTCACTAAGTAGGAGAGGTTGTTTTAACTGAGGTATTCTTCACTAAAGTTCCCTAAATACACAGAATAGCGAGCTATCTTAGCAGGGTTTATATAATTAGCTTCAATCTGGTCTTTTCCGATGATCTGCACCAGTAGCTTTTGCCTGGCACATGCTTTAACTTCTGTCATACGGTCTGTCCTCACTCTTGTTCTGTTCAATTTTATCCTACACTTTTAACACTAATAATATTTACCTAGATCTTCTTAACTTTCAGGTATAGATCCACTAACACATGTTGCTGTCGCAGCTAAATCAGATCATTCAAACATATTTTACTACTGAAATAATTACAGCATATGAAGATGCATGAACTGTCCTAGTAAGTGTAAAAAATAACAAATAACTGGACACATGAGCTGTAAAATAAAACGACCGAACCATTACTAATGCAAGGTCCTAATGGCATTAGGACCTTGCACCAGATCCGTAATAGCATGTGGGTTGGACCTGATTATTCCACCACTTCCAATAGTATTGAACACAAGTGAGAAGTGGGATTATTCTGAATGGGAAAGGTGATGGAATTCCATCCTATCACAAGCAAACATGTGTTGAGCCACTGAGGTTCACTAAGATTTTATCCACAGAATTGGAAGTCTGATATTTTTCAGTTAAATTATTTTTGAAAGTCTGTAAAAAAAGAGAAGAATAATAAAACAGCCACAGCATCAAAAGCACTGTGATAAATCTAGTCGTTAGACCAGACTAATAAGCATGGTTTATACAGTGGTTATCAAAAATATTCACCCCACTTTTAGGACTTTTTCATATTTTATTGTGTTTCAATACAGAATTATAATGCATTTAACTGATTTTTTGCCATTAATCAAAACACAATTTATAATGTCAAAGTGAAAGCCTAATTCAACAAATTGTCCTAAATTAAATATTATACATATGAAACTGAAAACAATGAGTAAATAAGTATACAACCGCTTTAAGTCAATATTTGGTAGATGCACCTTTATCAGAAATAACAGATTCTGCGATAAGACTACCTGTTTTGCACATCCAGACCCTACAGTTTTGATACCCATTCTTTTTTGCAAAATTGCTCAAGGCACCTCAAGTAAGATGGAGACTATTGGTGAACAGCTTCTTCAACTCCTGCCACAGATCTGTGACTGGAATGAGGCCCAGACTCCAGAACATTAAACTTCCAAACAATTTTGTTTTTAAACCACTCCTGCATGGTTTTGGCTGCTTGCTTTTGGTCATTGTCCTGCTGGAAGATAAATCTTCTCCTAACTCCCAGGTCTCTTCCAAACTGCAGCAGGTTGTATCCTCCAGTATTTCTCTGTACTTTGCTGCATCCATCTTCACAAGTCTTCCCTGCCCTGACACAGTGAAGCATCCCCACAGTATGATGATGTCACTCCCATGCTTCACAGTAGGAATGGTATTCTCAGGATGATGTGCAGTATTATGTTTGTGCCACACACAGCAATTAGAGTTGAGGCCAAAAGGGTGAATTTAGGTCTCATCAGATCATAGAATCTTCTTGCACTTTTTAAAAAAAAGTCTCAGAGTCTGTAGTCAAAAATATGATGAGTTTTTTACAACAATGGCTTTAGTTTTGCCAGTGCCAGTTCAGATGAAGAACTCAGGGAATTGAGCTAGTCAACTGTGGGTCTTCCCATAGATAGCTGTATTTAATCTGGACTCACGTGAAACAGTTTCATTGCACACAGGTGGACCCCATTCAACTAATTTTGTTCTGAAGACAACTGATTGCACAATTGGCTACAACAGAGACTTATTTAGATGTGTCTTTTGAAAGGCCATGAATACTTTATTTTCTCTTTCATAGTTATAATTTAGGAGGATCTGTAGAAATGTTTTCACACCGTAGAGTGTTTTGTGATTATCCATGGTATAAAAACCCAATGAAATTACATTACATATTGTAACACAATAAAATGTGTAAAAGTCAATGGAATATTTTTAATAGCCACTGTGTGTGGAGGCTATTATCCTTACTTCCCCCTCTCCATAGCTATCCATAGCTTCATTAAAAAACTCTCAGGAATTTGAAAAGAGTTTCAGATGTGCAAATCTTCAGAAATGGCATGCACACAGAATTGCAGTTTTCAGTGCAGAGAAAAACAAGGGACATTATGAATGATTATATTTTATCTTAAAGAACATGGAAGATAATACCTTTTTACTGTATCCTTGCCGTTTTTGTCTTGATCCCACTGAGTAAAGTGCAGGAATGAGATCCACAGGACAGTCAGCAAAGTATTCACAACAAGTTACAGGAGACTCGTGTATACTCAGGGGGTATGGGTTCTCAAATATTGGGTAACTGTGAAGAGATGAAAAATGACAGATTTTATGATTGATACATTTACATTTCACTAATTGTGCTTTCTTTTAATTTCCTAAAAAAACAGATTTATACTGTATATCTTAGTTTGCAGCCCATAGCTCAAGCCACACAGAATTTTAGGACCATTTTCCACATTAAGACATAACAACTGTAACTGTAACAACTCTTTTTAATTAAGCATCCTAATAATAATCACAGTAGAGCTCCTCACACTTTTAGGAAACAAATTCATACTTCCTGAGGTGCAGATGGAATCTGGTCTCACGCCTCAAGCCTCAATACACAACCTGGTCAGGCAATTTCATTTTATAAACCCAGAAGAACCTGAAATGTCACATTTCATGTTTGCACCAACACAAGTGTAAATATTAAGAGGGACTGAAACTAGTGGAAAATAGCTTAGAATTTTTATTTTTCTAGAACATCAAATTTAAGTCTAGTACATTATCACTAATAATACTGTTCTGCTTTTGTACAGAGCTGCATTTTTCTAAAACTGCACAAGTACTTGGCAATTATCATTCACTGGTGTAATTTCTACATGTTGTGCACAGTGCAGAAGCAACAATGAGGTGTAAGTAATATACCTGTGTAGCATATTTCATGTTTCTCATTTTGACAGCTTACATACTTAGAATTCAGTTCATTCTCGGGTTACTAAGACATTAAAAAAAAAGAAATAAAGATCAACAAGATCAAATATAACACAAACTCTGTTCTGACTATTTCAAATTGCGCAATATTGTAATGATTTTGAAAATTGTGGCACGCTATACAATTCTTTTCTACCACGCTTTGGCAGTGTAAGATAAGGGTAATAAGTATACCGTACTTTGAAATATTTGGGCATATTTGGGAAATTTACTTTGTAATCTGTGGTTTACATCTACTGTATTGCTTTGAGATGCCACTTTTAAAGGTGATATGTAAAATAAAGTTTTTTATTATTGTTATAGAGAAACATGATCAGATCTTCCCCGGTTCAGAAAAAAAAGATCTAAAGTATACTAGTTTGTCACTCTTCTCATCGCCTCTTTGCTAAATGGCTTTTGAATAGAGTTACATGAAGAGAGAGGTGAAACAGCCCTACACAGCCCTGTCGCAGTACACAAATATAATTATATCTTATTAATTTCTTTAGATACGTGATTCTTTTAATACAGTCTTTGCTGTGCTCTAGAGGATCCTTGTGACATTTCGAGCTCTGGTTGAATGATAAGTTTCGCAATTTAAATAATTTTGTAGTTAGAAATTATGAAACACTCTGTTAAAAGCAAAGGAGTTTTTATGTCCGTTGCAGTTAAAGAAAATGAAAATGACAAAGTAGGGCTTGGACAGATTCCAAGTGCATTTTTGCAATTTACGTTGGAACAGACAATGTACAGCGTGTACTATTCTTGTGTTGAGGTACATTAATATAATTATATCGTTATTAATTTCTTTAGATACGCGATTCCATATTATATTCCCTTTTAATCAAATTCTAAAAGTATGCTTGTTGACTTAGTTAAAGACTTGGATGCTTAAAATGTTTAGGGAGAAATGGAATACTGGTGTGTATGTTTTCTTTAAAGTAACAAGACCAGCCATATACTGTATGTTTAAGTTCTAAAATTAATATCGTTTATGGCCTTCTCACGCGTTACAGTATGCTCCTATTCTTTTTATGCTCAGGTACTAAGATTTCCCTTCAGTGGTAAAATTCCATATAAATATTCAATACTTAAACGGGCACAGTTAAGACATTAAATATACATATACATACTGTATACAGTACAGTTTGCATACGGTAATATGTTTATGTTCTTAAATCAATCTCTTTTATGAGCATGTGAAAGGCATGGTGAATCGATTCTCAAAAATTATTGTACTTTGCATGATTGGAAACAAATGCGTGATTGCGAAATGCTGTGGTGTTACTTTTACAAAGACGGTCAATGAAAAAAAGAACGTGGAAGGGCAATACTTTGAGTTTACAGCTTGTCCAAGGTCATTCATTATTAATACTATTAGTAATATCTTTGTTAAAGACTTTGATGGCGACAGCTCAAACATGAGAGGTTGAGCTTTATTAGCTCCACCATGGGGAAATTCCGGATACTATTATTTTGCTTGTGGTATTATAGGAGAATTTACGGTAACTAGCGGTATTTACCGGTAACTCGCGGTATTTACCTGTAACTCATGGTAGACTGCGTAAAGCGCACCGCAAAATAATGCGGTATCGCCCGCGCATTTTGAATGGCTGCATCTGGATAGCTGCTAGGTATTTTATTTTTAATTAATTTAGTTCACTTTAACCCTCTTGGATCAATTAAATCAAGTGTAGAACCTCTATTTTAAAGGAGAAAAGGTTTTGGGACACTTGAGTAACAGGTGTCTCTTATTGGATAGACATCTGATTCTGGGTAACTAGACTCATTAAAAAGTTGTGGATACCCTATCAACGTATATCAATTATACTGTACATTTCACACATAGCCATGAGTGATGAAAGCATATAGAAACAAACATGTATCACTGAATACAGCATGAAGATAGGAGACTATTGAAAACTGAATTAAGAAAAACAAACTCAGCACCAATCCCTTCTGAAGTCTTACTCCCCAGCACTAGCACTGGAAATGTTAAAAAAATGCATGTAGACAAACATTCCTATATACTGTATTTAATTCTTATATGTAATATTAAAATTATACAGTATAATGTATAACATATAATATACAATACATACAGTATACAGCAGGTATCACCACCCCCTTTCAAAAATGTTCACTTTTTGTTGCCCTAAACCCCAAAAAGAAGACAAATAAAATCAGACTTTTATTGACACATTGGACCTTGCAACATCCAAGTGAAAAAAGAAAGCAAAATTTCTGAAAAAAATTAAAAAAACTGAACAACTGGGTTGGATAACCCCCCTGAGCTAATACATGTTGGAATCAACTTTTTCTTTAATTACAGCCTTGAGTCTGTTTGGATACATCTCTACCAACTTTGCACACCTAGAAGGAGGAATATTTGCCCATTCCTCCTTACAGAATTATTCGAGCTCAGTCAAACTGCGTCAGTGACCATTGATGGACTGCCCTTTCAAGTCATTCCAAATTTTTGTGATGGGATTTAGCTTGGGGCTCTAACTAGGCCACTCAAGGCTTTGGGTCATTGTCATTGTTGAAAGGTGAACCATCTTCCCATTTTCAACTTCCAGGTGTTGCAGGTTTTCTTCAAGAATTTGCCTGTGTTTTGCACCACCCATTTTTCCTTCAATCCTGACAAGTGCCCCAGTCCCCCACAACAGGATGCTGCCACCACCATGCTCTACTGTAGGAATGGTATTCTTTGGATGGTAAGATGTATTGGGTTTATGACCGACATTTTGCATTCTGGCCAAAAAGTTTGATTTTAGTCTCATCTGACCCCAGCATCTTTAAGATGCTTTTTAGCAAAACATAAATGAGACATAATGTGGCTTTTTTTTTTCCTTGCCACCCTCCCATACAGGCCAGACTGGTGGAGCGCTTGTGATATTGCTGTCACATGCACATAATGCCCAGTCTTTGCCATAAAGGCCTGTAGCTCATTCAAAGTTGCCATCAGCCTCTTGGTAGCCTCTCTAATCAGTCTCCTTCATGCTCAGTCATCCAGCTTGGAGAGATGACCTGATCTAGACAAGGTCTGGGTGGTGCCATTCGCCTTCCACTTCTTAATGATGGTTTTGACTGTGCTCCATGGGATACTTAAAGCCTTCGAAATGTTTTTATACCCTTCTCCTGACGTACCTTTCCACTTTATCTTGAAGTTCTTTTGAAAGCACCTTTCTGCCCGTAGTGGATTATTTGCTTTGAAATGCACTTCCAAGCAGTTTTTATTTTCAAAGTGTCATACAACAAAAGGTACAAATTCTGAAAGGGGGTGGTGACTTTCTATACCCACTGTAATACATACTATTCTTAAGATAATTACAATTGGAACATTTACAAAGGTTTTATTTTCTACATATTTATATATTGGATAAGGGTACTTATAAGGTTTCAACAACACTCCAGCATTCAGATGGAGTATGAACAGGCAAAAGGTTTGTATAAAGCAAAGAGCAATGAGCATTGAAGAAACTGTGTTCTGCTTCCTTCCCAGGACAGCCTGTGTGCTTATCAGCTAAGCTAATACTAAGTATACACAAGTGGCTGCAGCACTACAGGATGGGGAGGGAGTCAAATGATTTTAATTAATTTCCTTCAGCTGTCCCTTTTATTTCAATTAAAGAAAAACAGCTGGAAACTTTGGTTTAAGGTGTGAGAAGAACTGGCCACTGTGGTTCACTTTCATATAATTTAATCACAAAATATTATATATTCTTAAGTGGTAGACAAGACATAAAAAGCTACATTAATCATTGCTGTCTATTTTTTGGAATGACATTGAAATGTAAACACCAGAAACATTTTAAGGCTTAGTACAATCTCCTACAGTATTTTGGTATGGAAAAAATATGACATGGACTGCAAGCACAGCTCCAGCTCTGAGGTATTTTAGTTTTAATAATATTAATTCATTTCTACCCTCTGTGTCAATTACACAAACTGATAGTGCTGAACCTTTTTATTTTTAAATAGCAAAAGTATTGAGACAACTGGCTGTTAGGTGTTTCACTCCAATTGGACATGCATTTTACATTCTGAAGAAAAAAAAGGAGTTTGCAATACCCCAAGAATAGGCAAGTTCTCAAAGGGGCTACATCAAAGGCTCGGTAAAAAAAATTACACTAAGACTTTGGTGATCACAGGGAGTCACAGAATTCATGCAGTTATTACCTTAAAGGGATATACAACCAATTACTGACTTTTACATTGTGGAATTTACTTTCCAGATGTCTAGATGGATTTTATAAAATGTATGATTTTGTTCTAATATGATAAATTGTATGTATAGAATTATTCAAAAAATAATCTGTTTTATACTTATCACATTGATCTCATCACAAATTATTGGACTATACAGCAAAATAAACAGTTTTGACTGCACTGTTTCAATACTTTTGGAGGTCCCTGTAGTACTGAGTTGAGTTGTGTATTCAATTTTCTCCAGGTTGATCAATATTTCAGTTTCATACCGTATATGTACTGTAGTCAGTGTTTTTCCAGGTTTATCAAGGGCTCCTCCAAGGCTTATTCCAATGGAGTGACCCTGTAGTTATTAAAAACATACTTCCTGGGGCCAGTGAATAGATTAATTATTCATGCCCTTACCCATGGATTTGTTTCTGATTTAACCTTACTGCTGCAGTTTCATTTATTCAGTTAATTATGGTGCATTAGACTGAACTGGTTTAAGTGAGCTATCTGACAAAAGAAGGTGTGACACTAAGGTTTTACAGGACACTAATCACCAGCTTTAATTGGGGAAATAATTAATTGCTTTGGTCCCTGGAGGAAGGTTTATGCTGTTTGTAACAAGGTTAAATTAAGAAGTGAGCCTCCCAGGCCTGTTCATTTTTATTGAATTTAGACTTTTTCAACCCATAAATGGAGCTGTGATGGCATTTCATCCACAGTCCTCTACTTTAGTCCTGTTTTAATTAGTACGCAGAGGTATATCCACAATCTAGTAACATCAAGAGCCATAAAATGTAAATGCAAAGAAAATGAGCAATTTTAGAATTATATGAAAGCAGTGAAAAGAGAGACATGAATAAATATTACTCAGGCTTATCAAAATATTTTAACAACATAAAAAGTAATAAACATTGTACAAACCAGAATGTTTTCCTTAAGGACCTAGTTCTGAATCACTTTGATCACAATAATTACAATTTAAGATTTTGTTTTTACTATTTTAACATTTTATTACTGATACTATTCACACTTAATTTACATTTAATCAAAATAAGAGTAAAAGTCTAGTTATTTTATCAGGGCAATAATAATCATTCTTGTTTTTATACTGTACAATGAAGGCACACAAGACTGAAACTGTTGTTGTGCACTTATTATATAGTGTAGAATCAAAATAGAGACATTTTAGTTGATTTGATGAAGGTTACAGGGCCAGCAAGCATTGTACAATAAGAAAACTAGGGCCTGCTACCAAATCAAACCCCTTGTGAAACCTTAGTAGACATAAGGTCTATGAGCATTCTGGTTTCAGAGAAGTACTTCCACACTCCCAAGTTTTCACCAGTTTAATCAAAACACTTTCATTTAATTCAATAATAAGTGAAAAGTACCTAATTTTTTACTTAATCTGAAATTAATTTATAGTAGCTAAATTGAAATGAAAATTTAACCACCACAGCAAAAGAAATTGTTTTTGTTTGTTGTTTTGAATTCCCATTGAATACGTTTTTATCAATGAAATTACTCATTTAATGAAATCGCCATTTAATCCCCATGTAGATTCCCAGCACTCTCTAATGACTCTCTAAATGGCCAAGAGATGATACTGGAGTACTCTGCTATGTAATGATGTGTAAGAAACATTTTCTTGAAGCATCACTGTATTTAAGAATTTTTAAAGCTAAAATTTAATTTGAAATCTCCAACTATTTGTGTGCTTGTAGTCAATGACTTACCCATTTTGTGCAAGGTCGATAACTACTAAATCTTTTTCTAGAAGGACCACTACAGCATAAGGTTCCTGAAAATCTGTTAGGAATAAAAAAAAAGATTAATGAATAAATGAAAATCTGAAAAGTCACAAAACTTTTCATATATGTAAGATGACTTAAGACTCTCATCTTAATGTCTGAATCTCTATTTTATGTAACAAAAGACTATTTAGGCCTTTCAGAGTCTTCAATAACCATCATTTGTCAAGTTCCCAGTAACTATGTCAGCAATTTTACTATGTACAGACAATAGGCTATTTCAAAATATGTTATGGTTTTAAATTATTTAAAATGTAAAAAGTTAGCTGACTTTTTAAAAATTATTTTAAAAATAAGGACAAGTTTCTCTTGTTTTGATTTTTAGTATATACTAAAAATGATATACAAAACAATAACAATTTAATAAAAAATTCAGCATGTAAAAAAAAATATGCAACTAATCATGGGAGATGTTTCACCAAAATATGATCAAAACAGAAAATGGACCATAATTTACAAGGAAGAAAAGATAATGCATTTTTTATGGAAAAGAAAGCAATACACCAGAGAATCAGACCAGTTTATAACCTGAATTACTTTGACACCTAAAGTGGATACTTATAGACTTGTTGGATGTACTGTACATGCAGACGTACTGTATATTCTCTCTTGCTTTCTGTAGGAGACTGCTACGGAGTTACAGTACATTTACAGAATAGCAATAGCGAGCAATGTAAACATTTTTATTCAGTCTTAAAAGTACAGTACGTCATTACATGGGGGTGAGTGCTAACTATCTTTTGTTGTATATTTAACTTTTTGTATCCTTCTAGAAATTTAAAAGAGTACAGATTACTCTTCACTTTACTGATTTATCGTAGTACTGAGCCAAAAGAATGCTATAGAGCTTTTTTTTCCATTACAGGGCAACACAACCTCCCAAAAATAGAAAGTACAAAAATATTTTGTAATAAGCTATAATAAAAGTAATTTAAAAAACTATGTGTGAGGCACAGAGGCTCAATGAGCATTGCTGTCACCTCACAGCTACAGCTAAAGCCTCGAATATGGCCCTGTTAGTGTAGAGTGTGTTGGCTTTCTCCAAGTTCTCTAGTTTCTTCCCACAGTACAAAGATATGCTGTTCATGTTAAGCAGCATCTCTATGTCATGCCCTGTACGTGTGTGTGCTTAGTGATGAATGGCATCTTGTCCAGAATGTAGTCAGGTTCTCCTTTTCACTTCGACCCTTCGACTTTGACAACGATAAAACAGTTAGTGAAAATGCGTGTATGAAAAAAATGTAACATTTTTTAAAGATTTTTTTAAGCTTGAGTAAAATAAAAGTATTTTTAAATTATCTTTTTTTTAGAAACATACCTCTTCTTGTTTCCTTCATATCCTAGGAACATTTTTCATGTGTTTCAATACTTTCTATATGAACATCTGACCATGAACATTTGAGATCAAAGAAGGACTGCAATGCAACACCAATGGCACCTATTTCTTATAATGTCAACCCTGGCATTAAAGTTGTGACTATCTACAGCAACATGCTGTTAATGACAAAGGTACAGTAGCATGGTTTACAAGTAGAAAAACTAAGTGATTTTCATTTCATGATGCTAAAATACATATGCATATAGATGTTACATGTACTGTACCTAAATCCCAAAACTAAAAAACCGTTTATTCATAGATCAGCCTCAAGAGAAAGTTGGTCTCAATAATTAGAAAGTCAGGATAACTGACTAAAATTAGGAAACTAAACAACCACAATCCTCTCTGCCCTAGGAAAACACAAATTGTGTTCTCTTCAGAGATGCACAGATTCAGCCTAATGATTCCAATGTTACTGGAAAATGTATTGTTGCTGAAATTAAGAGAAATTACAGCAAAGAGGTTCTGACACTGGACTCATGATTGGCTCAATGAGTAAATGATCTCTCTTAAATGCTGGTTGAGCTCTATGATCCAAGCATCACAGCATCAAGCACGCGTCATGTCACTTGCTGACTGTGAATAGGATTTCCCTGGCAGTTGCTGAACACCGCTGAGGATCTAGTAAGATCAGCTCTTAGCAACACAGCAACCCCTGCAACCTCCCTAACTGTCAGGAAGGGACATGTTTCTCCTACACTTAGAGCTAAACATTGGGGTCATGTAGCCCCAAAGGGTTACAGTGAGACAAAGAAGTCTGCCTACACTTCCTCATTCTCCACCATGTATGGTGGCAGGGTTCACAGCTGTGACCCAAGATGTTTAAATACTTAGGTGTTTATGCAGACAACTTACATCATCTTGACAATTTGGGGAAACATAAAGGTAAAAAAATGCTATGGTATATAGTCAAAAGCTTAGAATTTAAATAATGGGATGTTATTTTAAAATTGTACAACACAATGGTAAGCCCTCATTTATAATACAATTTTTGTTACCCAATTTATAGAAATATAGAAAATATATTGCTCTAGGATCTGTCAAGAGAAGATCAACCAGAGAACCATTTAGGCTTAAGGGAATGTCCTATACTGACAGGTTGAAGGAACGTAACCATTTTAATGTAATGTAAAAGACTATAAGGGGACCTCATACAATAACTCAAAATCTTCAGAGACCTTGTGGATTTCTTTATAATGAACAGTAAAGCATGAATCACAAGGAATGAATGGCAACTTTAAGTGGAAATGTGGAAGTGCATTCCTTTTTCCAAAGGGTTGTGGGAGTATGGAACAAGCTACCCAGTCATGTTGTTGAAGCTGATATACTGTTTTCTTTCAAGAAATAGCAGGATGAGATGTTTGGATCAATTAACTACTAACTACCAAACGGGCTAGATAGGCCAAATGACCTCCTCCCATTTGTACTCTCATATAATTTGTGCAATACACAGGGTAACAACATGATACTCACTCAACATGGTCCACTCAAGAACTTCTTAGCAGTAGTAGTGAGGACTCATACCTGGAAAGTTGTATTTTTCAATGGAGTAATTTTTCTCACTGTTTAACTAGGAAACTAATTGCTTTCATTCCAAAGCAGTCTTCTCTATGATATTGTGCTATTATTTTCCTGTCTGTTTTTTTTTGTTTGGCTGAATTTTGAGTAAATATGAAATTATCTTAACAGGAAGGGATGTATGTGACCCATGACAAACACTGTTCATTCACAAACAACCTTGCCAATGTAATTTTATGTAAAATGCATAAATGTCAGTAAAGATTATATTACTTTTTGGGGATTTAATCTCCTTTACAATGCTCATAAAGAACACATTAACACATTAATAGTATAAGAATATGAGGTGCAACTGAATTATGTCATTAACCATATGGTTTTGAAAAATAAATACTACATAAAACTAGCCAGAAGCTAAGTCAAGAATGATTTAAACTTACATTTCATTTTTAAAAAAACATGAGCTTATGTTGGATATTGACATTAACCAAAAAAGACCTGTAAGAACTGTAATCTGCTCACTTCTTAATTTTAATGGTATGCACCATTAACCTTTGTAAAAAAGTCCACACTTACTTATTTTTTTAAAAAAATTGATTTACTTTAAAATAGTCTGCATGTATGTGATGTAAAGCAGAATAATATTTACATACTGTACTGTTGTTGGGCTCATATACTGTACAGTATTTGCATGGAAAGTTCAGATTGCTTGCTGTACTGTACATTATTCAATAGCGATCAATTTAGCCTAAATAAATTCTCCCCTGCTTTTAACAATCTAAACTGAAATAGTGGTCAACTAGAAATACCAGTATGGGGCTATGGATATTAATAATGTATGTATGTAATGTATATAAACTAAACATATGCTCATGTTTAAAATGCAAAAAAAGTAATGTAACAATTTAAAACTCATGTGCCTTTTACCTAATACTCTGCATTAAACATATGTACATAAGTAACTTTGAACTACATTTCACCATTTTAACAGTTCACAATTAGATGTGATAAGTTATGCTTTACAATTCATTAAATTAATTATATGATTTTAAGTTAAAACAATTGAATGATTTATATCCCTGCAGAATCACTACTGACATTTGTCCATTATTTTATCAACTGACAGTCTTTAGTAACTTATTGTGGCCTTAACTCTGTAGAATCAAGTAATATCAAAAATAATAAATCAAATTGAAATCAAAACCAGTTTGATTTGATTTGCAGTTAGAATCATGCATGGCACATTTAGAACTGGAAATGTTTTTCTCTATACTTTCTAATATACCCCTGAAGTTGTATTTAGAAAATCTGCTCACAATTCGGTTTCTTTTTTTACAATAAAATAACCCAAAAACTACAGCTACAACTCCGAGGTGTTTCACCTTCTTTTAAAAACCAAAACCAGACAGCAATCGTAATTCACAAGGACTATGGATTTTAAGATATGGCCAGCAGCCATATCACCCTGCAACTTACAACTGGCAACCCACTGAAGCTAAGCAGGTGTGAGTCTGGTCAGTACCTGGATGGGAGACCTCCTGGGAAAAACTAAGGATGCTGCTGGAAGAGGTGTTAGTGGGGCCAGCAGGGGGCGCTCACCCTGCGGCTCATGTGAGTCCTAATGCCCCAGTGTATTGATGGGGACACTATACTGTAAACAGGCACCGTCCTTCGGATGAGACGTAAAACCAGGTCCTGACTCTCTGTGGTCATTAAAAATCCCAGGGTGTTTCTCGAAAAGAGTAGGGGTGTACCCCGGCGTCCTGGCCAAATTTCCCATCGGCCTTTATCAAACATGGCCTCCTAACAATCACCCTCTATAAATTGGCTTAATTACTCTGCTCTCCTTCCCACTGATCGCTGATGTGTGGTGAGCGTTCTGGCGCACTATGGCTGCCGTCGCATCATCTAGGTGGATGCTGCACATTGGTGGTGGTGGAGGGGAGTCCCCATTACCTGTTAAGCGCTTTGAGTGGAGTGTCCAGAAAAGCACTATATAAGTGTAAGCAATTATTATTATTATTATATATAATGTTTTAGCTTTCAGGAATCAGAATATACAGTACTGAAAAACACTACTGTGCACTACGTGTGTCAAATGATCGCATAACTTTGTGACTGTTACCTCAGTTCTTAACCAGCTCATGAAAAAATATATTTATAATGTAGTAAAAAAGTATTAAATCTAAATGCAGTATGATGTAGTAAATCAAAATTCCAGAAAGCTGCTGTAACGCATCCAAACACATCATTTGAAAATATGTAACAGATATAATCTTAAATGTCAGCTGATACTGGAAATCACAGGTTTGGGGCTAGGAACCAGACAGTGCTGCTTGTGTTACATTGTACAAATCACCCTATAAAACAAAAGATCCTGTAGTCAATGTCAGTGTCAGTCATGAATCAGACTGTTATCTGCTATATGGACTTAAAAATGTATTTTGATAACTCTTTGTCAAATCAAATTGGCTAAATCCAGGAAAGGTAGGTAAAAATTCATGTTTCTTCTGCCTATTTTACCAATGAATCCTCAGATAAATCATCAGCTCCCTTTACCAATTTTCCTTTCAATACCTCCAGTGTTCAATAACCATTTAGTATAATACTGCTAATATTCACAGCAAGCTGGTGCTGCAGCAAGCTAGCAGACAACAGACACAAAGCAGGATACACCCTGGACAGGAAAGCCTGTTCACTATGGGGTGTACACACACACTCATGGGGTAGATGCTAATTAACCTTGACTTAAATTAATTAAATTAACCATTTAACTGTGGGAGGACACTGGAGCAGCCAGTGAAAACTTGTGTGGTCTTGGGTAGAAAATGTAAACTCTACATAGATGGTGCGTCAGGACCCAGGAGCTTTGATGAAACAGTTCTAAATGCCATGCCACACTGTGCACCACTTTTCGTTCATACAGTATAACAGAGAAATCTAAATAAGCATAAGTTTCAGTCTCACAACACATAACCTCTCATTTGCACGTCTGCAATCTCAGCCTTTAACCTTGAAAGATCCTTGTGATAATTATTTGGCAGTTGTTGCCATCAAAAATAGTCTTACACTAAACAAAAGCAGCATAAAAGAATAACTTAAAACAATTAAAGTTGCCTTTAAACAATACTGAGGCCCAACATAGAGGATTTGTATAACAAAAAAGTGTTAAGAACCTCTTCATTTTCTTTAATTCGACCACACCATTCATTCAGTCATACAGCATCACAAAAACAACTACATAGCACCAACTAGAAACTGAGGAAAAGCAGGGAACTTCCAAACACTTACCATTTGGATATGGTGTTTCACAGAGGGTTAGAAAATCAACGATAGGATAATCCATTTCTAGTACTGCAGTGCTCTTTCCATGCATCACTGTTAAACATGGTCTTCTTCCCACAGTGTCATATGACAGACCCCCTGAAAGAATCATGAATGGATCTCTGGGGGAAAAAAAAATGAATACCACTAATGAGACTGTTAAGAAGTAATGAATAAAATAATCTTGCTTTAAGAGGCCAAGAAAATCCAGATCAAGACTGACAGTCTTACTTTATATAAGACTAGTAGATGAAAAATAAAAGGGAAAAGTATTTTTCTTGTGAACAACATTTGCAAGCACAAAGGTGAATGAGTATGAGATTGAGAATGCGAGGCATATAAAACCTGTACAAGTGAGTATTGGAAAAGTATTTTGCAATTTAAAACCTCTCAACAGTTCTGACCATAAATAAACTTCTGCTCACTACATTGTCTATGAAATGGGTAAGTGCTGAGATAAATTAGATTCTAAAGGGGATAACAAAACAGATAAAAACTCTGAGTGAGTTGATTAGACTGGTTAAACAAGGAAATACCATAAAAATAGGTGTACTGAGATACTCATAAGAGTTACATAATTAAATAATAAAACCAGTATTTTTAATTTATAATTAGAATCTGTATGACATTAATAAGAGCTGACATCAAATACAGTAATTCCTATCAGTAGGTGTTCTGTGAAGTGTAGAATCTTTTCTCTTCGCGGCCTGAAAACAGAATTGTAAAGAGTGATTTAAGAGTCATTAATGTGCATCTTAAGCACAGTAGGAAGTGTGGCTTGTTCACATGCCTTTAATGTGCTAGGACTTAAAACATGACACTTGCTGTACGAGATGAACCCTAATTAGCAGTCCCTGCGTACCTTGTTCCCAGGAGATCAACTAACTTGAAGATGAGTAACTTAAATGCCCTGTGCAAAACATTGCAAGACACACTTTAGAACAAATTAAAACCCCAAAGATTACATATAGAAACACTAGCTTTATCACCAAGAGCAAAACAAGCCCTTACCCAGCTCTGGTTGTTTTGTATTCAACTTTTAAGATAGGCTTGCAAGGTTCTGGTTTTTTTCCATCCTTTGGGTGCTTTCCTGAAATAGAACAATTTCAACAGTGTTCAAACAGGTCAAATCAGCTCTTTCTGCCCTGATGCTGCCATTGTCTCTGTGTAGATCTTTTACGTGCCTCTTAGTAAGACAAGACCATCCATCTAGCATACGTGTATTTCTACAAATCTTCAAGACATCGCACAGGGCAAAGATATCTAATAAAGGTTCACAGTTGGCAACCTAGCTGGTAAAGCAACCTAACTTGAAGAGATATTTTAAATTGAATATTGCAGATTCCAAACCTATATACTTTTACTACACATTTTCAACCAACTTCCTTGTGAGCACTGCTGTGTCTGTGGGATATAGTACACTTTCTAACTCATTTATGGAAGCCCAGTGGGAATTCAACTCAGGTCAGAAAATGAAATGATTGTCTCTCTTAGCTAGGACCTGCACTGGCACATCACAGAATTGCAATAAAATAGGAAAGGTACAGTACAAAGCTACAACAGACAGAATTCAAGTCAGGACTGAAGTGCAGGAACAGAACAGCTGAATAGAATAAGAAACAGTTTTTCTTGTGCGTGCTGTCACAATAAGCCACAAAAAATCATGATTCTGTATATAGGAGAAATACCTCTCCTACTTTCATTACCTACAAAAATATTTTTATTTTTTTAATCAAAAGGATTTAGAAAACAATAGTTTTTTTTTTAAAACAGCAGCTGTAATTACGTTTCTTATTTAATACATAAGTACAGTACAGGCAATTTTCAAACAGGTAACTTTTCAAATAGCTTTTCCCTTGTCAACCATTACTTGGCTAAAGTACACTGTAATATTGTATATCATATTATATCCTAATGAGTCATTTAGGATATGTTACAGTTAATTTTCCCAAGAAATGATGCATGGAGGGTCACATTTTTTACATTTCTGTGGTGGAAGTTTAATTTGATCTATACATTGTATAAATTTCCAGAAAGAGCTGTGATTACAGAGACTGGGGGATTAAACCTACTCAAACGGATTATGCTCTAAAGTTGACCTTGTCTCTTGTGCCAAAAGATTCTTGTATTCCCATAGGTTGTCTCGCCGATTATGGATGAATTAGCAAGCTGCTAATAAAAGTCAAGAAGGTGGCTAAGGGGTATTTAGAAATCAGTTGCTTGGTTTAACTGAGTGAAAATTAATTATTTATAATGCAGCATAACAATGGAAGACAGTTAATAAATGCAACCCCCTGACATGAGGATATTTTTGCAGACTATTTTTTATCTTTGCCCAGTCAAAGTATCAAGGGTGGTTTAAGATGTCTGTGGGACATAAGTCAAAGAAAGAATGTTCCCATGGGGGTTTTTGCAGCTCTGAATTGACAGTAATTGACACCCAGTGCATCTGCAACAGACCTGGGAAGGAACCTGTGGCACAGTTGATGAGGCCCATGTACTGTAAGAATAGTCGACGACATGTTTTGCAAAGTCTAAACCTGAAGAGATGAGGTAGAACTGAACCACATCCATCTTGAGACAGGTGACTTCACCTTTAGCCTACACACTACACTGAATGACCAATGGCTAAGGAGACATACATAACACATTATATTCCCATACTATAACCTCATCTAAATAATGCTCAAGTGAAGGCTTCCTCAAGGATCTCAGTAATCAAGAACTTATTATGTAATTAACTATACAGAGTCAAGCTGATCCACCAGACTCACTTCTCTTTTGACCTGAGTGTGATTTTAGTTCAGATGAAACCTGCTGCAATTTCTAAATCACATTTAAAACAGAACAAAAAGCCTTTCTTTATGCAAAGGGTTTGGGGAGCAAGGAACTAGCTACCTAGCCAATTTGATATTGAATCTGATATGGGTGTGACACCCGAAGAAGGCTCCACAGCTGAAACGCTGTGTTTCTTTTCTTCTCAGCATGGAATAAACTTTACTTGTTCCTTTGGAGCCTACGCATGCTACTTGAACTACGTGAATCTCATACGCTGATGTCTTTCAAGGAATGGCTGGATTAAATATTCAGATAAATTAGCTACTAACGAAGGGGCTTCATGTGTTGTGTTCATGTGTTGAAAAAAATCCTCTTGTTTTAAACTGTTCTTATTAAAAATAAAAATAGTTTCAATCTCTAAATCACAATTCATTGTATAATAAAGCAAGATAACAGTAATAATAATAATTGCATACACTTATATATCGCTTTTCTGGACACTCCACTCAAAGCGCTTTACAGGTAATGGGGACTCCCCTCCACCACCACCAATGTGCAGCATCCACCTGGATGATGCGATGGCAGCCATAGTGCGCCAGAACGCTCACAACACATCAGATATCAGTGGGGAGGAGAGCAGAGTAATGTAGCCAATTCATAGAGGGGGATTATTAGGAGGCCATGATTGGTAAGGGCCAATGGGAAATTTGGCCAGGACGCCGGGATTACACCCCTACTCTTTTCGAGAAACGCCCAAGGATTTTTAATGACCACAGAGAGTCAGAACCTCGGTTTTACATCTCATCCGAAGGACGGGGCCTGTTTACAGTATAGTGTCCCCGTCACTATACTGGGGCATTAGGACCCACATGGACTGCAGGGTGAGCGCCCCCTGCTGGCCCCACTAACACCTCTTCCAGCAGCAACCTTAGTTTTTCCCAGGAGGTCTCCCATCCAGGAACTGACCAGGCTCATACCTGCTTAGCTTCAGTGATATGGCTGCTGGCTGGGAAAAAGTATTGAGAGATACTTTCTCTCAGTATTGAGAGAAAATATTTATAGCTTTCAGCAAGTGAGATCAATATTTTTACCTGTCATTGTAAAGATTCAGAAAGATTTATGAGTACAGAAACATCTTTCCAAAATGTTCAAAGTTTAGACCTGTTATGCTTACAGACAATTAATACTTAAAAATTCCTCTCCTGGATGTTAAGGCCATTTGTCTCAACAAAAGCCAACCCACAACACAAAACCCAGGTTTCCCAAATGGACACACATGCCATTTATCAGTTGTACTTCCTCATGTCAGCCTCTAAAATGCAAACATCAGAATATAAGAATGTAAGTCAATCATTATGTCAACAGCAAATTATTTAACAATTTTAAACTCTCAACATTTCTGTTGCGAAGTAAACTAAAGCCAGTCTCAGACAAAAAAAAAAATTAATGACCTACCTCATTAAAATTAAACCATAACATCCAAAGTCATGTTTAATCTTACTGCTGTATTTCACTTTGGGGTTCTGTTATTCATGAAATGTCAAAACAGATCTATCACCATCTAGTTTTTCTCTGAATGCAACTTGCCTTGCATAGCATTCTGTGATTTTATGAAGGGTGGGGAAACCAGACATTTTAAGAAAAGGTCTTCAAGGCAAAGCCTAGGACGACAATGATAAACAAAAATGTTGTCTTCTGTCAAAGCCTAAATGACAGCTGTTATTTTGGTTTTGTAATTCTTTAAATATCTGAAGGCGGTTAGCATTGATAAAAATTTGTGCATATGAATTGAGACTTGGTTAATAAAAAGAACATAAAGAGAAAAAGTTAGGGTTGAATGATCAAACTGAGGTGTAATTAGTGGAGTCCCACAGGGACCTGTACTAGAAGCACTTCTCTTCTTAATTGAGTGTATATGATCTAGATTCTGAGATAGTTAATAAACTAATTCAGTTTGTAAATTATATTTAATATTTAATATATATATATAATATTAAATATATATTTAATATTTAACATATAAACAATATTTGGGTATTAATGTTGACATTGTTTATATCTTCCAGACAATGTGGCGAAGCAAACAAAAAGGGGAAACAAAACATAAGGCTGTATAGTCAAAAGTGTAGAATTAAAATCCATTAATTTTCTATCCACTCAGCCATAGACTATGTCAGCAATAATCCTGGACAGGATGCCAGTCCATCAAAGTGCATACAGAGAGTTATGGTAATGGTACCCACTATGCCACCATGCCACCCATTGAATCAAGACATACAGTATAAGGCTAAAATGCGCTCATTTAGACTAATTTAGAATATTGTATACAATTTTGGTTACCAAGTTAAAAAAAATATATTGTTGCCCTGGAACAAGTCCACAGAAAAGCAATCATGAACACTTAGTTCCGGGGCTAAAAGAAATGTCTTTAACTAACAGGGCGAAAGACCTGAACCTATTCAGTCTCGAACATGTTTCCTCACTTGCAAAAAGTTCAACACTTTTACCACAAAGATCATTATTAACCACAATCTAGTCCTGTGTCTCCTTTATATGTGAGCCATGAGTTCATATGAAAATACTTTTTATCTACAAGACAATGATAAGAGTTATACAAATTTTGATTTTGTTCATGAATGCATATGGTTGTGTCAGCAGCCATATCACCCAGCAACTCACAACTGGCAACCCACTAAGCTCAGCAGGTGTGAGCCTGGTCAGTACCTGGATGAGAGAACTCCTGGGAATTATTATTTTTATTCTGCATAGTTTATTTAGGATTATCAATCTAGACATTAGTTCTAGGCAGAAATTTGAAAACAAAACACAAAACCAAAAACAGAAGTCAGTTTCAAAGACTTGAATGCAAAAAGAAAAGGATTTATGCTTAAGATGATGGATATCATGCCTGTAATAGTTTTTGTTCAGGAAGTGTAGTAATTTATTTGGGTATCCAAGCACTGCCTCCTATTACACATACATTTTAGTAACTAAGTTTTTATGATAATTTTATTTATTTTTTTATAATAAAGTTAGTGAAATCAAAGAGGTTCCTGCCCACTTTTTAAGCCTAAAAAACAACAAAAGCGGACAAAAACATAATGCCATCACAGATTCCAGCTATAAAACAATTTATTTTGTTCAAGATTATTTAAGATTACTCTTTGTTTATAGAAACTGTCAGGTTTTGGGTATTTTAATTAAATATATTTTGCTAAAATACATAGAGAAGAAAATTAAAAAGGTCAACACAACACATTTAGGAAGTACTACTATTAATTTGAATTTTTGTTTTGTATTCTGCACATTAACAAAAAAACTTATATAACAAACAAGTTCAGTCTTCATAACAGATATTGAACAGTTCACATTTAATTATTAATTAACAATGCTTTTGTGTGTGTTTTAGAGTGACTTTGAAAATGCTAACCATTTAATTAAATATTGTCTAAGAAATATTTGTATATGTTCTTTTGGCATTTTAGAATTTTTCTTCACCAATCTGCTATTGGTGTAATTTTAGGCTTCAATCTGAATCATTAGAATATTATATCCTAAGCATTAGAAAAGGATGATGGCACTTTTCTAAAGCTCACTTTCAACATTTCATAAGGGGTAAGATCTTGTTTACAAATGAAGCCACATATGTCTGGTTGTTTTGTTCAGGGTTAGTACTGTATTTTACTAAAAACAAACCCTTCTATACAAGGCACTCTTCTAATAGTTTTGCACAACCCTGCAATGCAAACAGTTCACTGTATACTAATATTATCTCTTAGAGTTCAGTAAGATTCCCAAACAGTTGAGATTGACAGTCTGTGCACAGCTAAATCTTACCAATTCATGTTAAATGGAAAATGTTTTTTTACATCTTTGTCATACTAGAAACAATTAACTCAAATGGAAAAAAAAACTACAAAAGGGTAACTTTGCCTTCTGGCCTAAAGGAGAGACAAAATAATTCAAGTGAACACAATAGTACAGCATGACTCAAGTTAAAGGAAGCAGCATAGATTTCTTTTTGTTCTTACCATGTGGTGTGATTATCTGTGCAGGTTTAGCAGAATTTTTTACATTCCAGATGGTCAAAGTGCCATCTGAGTGGCTGCAGATGAACTGCTTTCCTTCATGATGCCAGGCCACAGAGTGAATAGCCTAGAAAAAAATAAACAAACATGGACTCTGCTTTTTGAAATACCGTTAGCAGTAGTAAGACTGACGTTTAAAATGTTACCCATACAATAACAAACCCCAGAGAAGCCACGACCATTAACAAAAAGTATACAGGATGACAAAACATGTTTCCTAAAGCTAATGGTAGTCAGATAAGATCATGTCTAACTTAAAAATTGATCAAATACTATACATACTGTAGAAGTGGTATTTTAATAAAATTACAAAAACCAATTATTATTATCAAACATATTTCTCAAACAAAACATTAAACATTTATAAAACAAATCTGCTTCCTTGCAAAAAGACAAATATTAAAAGCTATGTGTCTTTCAAGTGAGCTTTTAGTGTTTCTAATAAGTTTTGTTTCATTCTTAAAAGTACTGATGACATATTTAAATTATCTTTTCATACAGCCCAATGTATTATTTTTTCATGAAGCACACAAATTAATGCAGTACTGATGGCAATATCATTTGAAACGCTGCATACAGTACATGTTTTTTAGCAAGCAAGTAGTCTGAGCTGTAATAGCAGGGTGCTTTGAAAGACTCATAAAGATCACTACATGACATCATAAAATGCCTATATAATCTGAAAGGACTATACATGGTTTAAAATAAGCCTTCTTTGGGTGTCACACCCATATCAGATTCAATATCAAATTGGCTAGGTAGCTAGTTCCTTGCTCCCAAAACCCTTTGCATAAAGAAAGGCTTTTTGTTCTGTTTTAAATGTGATTTAGAAATTGCAGCCGGATTAAAAATGAAAGGATGAGACGGCCAAAACGTCCTTAACATATGCTCCTTCCCAAGGGTCTCTTTGTGAAGATGTTCACCTCTGGATATGGTCTGAAATCTTTTACCACTGTTACAGTGATACAGTTGTGATTGCTATGCATTTTAAAACTCTCCTGCTAATACAGTAGTTTGCTTAAGACTCCTCCCTCCACTTTAGAATCACATTTTAGAACCACAGCAACATATAAATAAACTTTATTTAAATAACTATTTAGAACTGTTCCTATTTTCCACACACCAAAAAACACCAAAAAAACCTTAATAAGATAACATAGCATTATAACATAGTTACACATGTCGTCAACAAGCAATATTGATGATGGGTTAACATCACGGCTGTCACTTTTACGTATTTTGTGAATATTTCACAAATCTTGTAGTAATGTACTATGCATAAAAATGACTGTTTTTACAGTATCACTGTACTGGGATCTACATCTCAATGAACACCTGTATCTGGTAGCTATGAAGAAGTGCTCTTCGTGAAAAACATAACGATGGTCAAACAAAACAAACAAAAAAACTCATTTTGAAAAGAGATCTCCCAATAAAAACAATATTCCTTCAGATCTGCAGTGGCAGGCAAAACAAAAATGGGTAGTACTGTAGTGTATGTGAAACAGAAAAAAGAAGGATATGAAATTTTCATAACTCTTGCCCTTTCTGCTATGATTCATTTTTTTTTGCCAATCTTCCTGTTAATAACAGAAATATTTCTGAAAATCCTTATTTATACAGCAATAAGTCCATCAGTCAACCGGAAAATATACTTTGATGTAGGATCTTGTATAACATAACAAAAAAGGCAAAACTGAACATTACTGATCGCAAAAAGGCATGAATCAAGGCCATGTCTGTCACTGGCCAGCTTGAAATGGAGACTTATCAGCCCAGCTCACGGGTAGTTAGCTTTCTTGACAAAAAAATAATTTAAGAATGGTGAAACAAAAAGCACTACAGGCTCCTGATGAATAACTGCTGGGGAGAGTGGTTCAATTAAGGAGGGGTGTCATTGCTCTTATTCTGAAGTCCCATGGAAATGAGAGCTTTCATAAAGTGACAGCACTCAACATGCTTGTTACTTTGCACTTCAATCTGGAAAATGATTTAAGTAAAAATGTTTTAGCTATTTGACACTAACAGACTCAGTCGAACATTTAACAGGTGCCAGTCATGTTTTTTTTTTTTCTGTTAGTTTCTAGGGGTCTGTTGGTACTGACAGAATATTCCTAAAATTCACTAAATATCAGTCTATCCCTTTATCCCTGAAAGCCAATCAAATATTTCTAAAGGCTAATCCAAAATAAATATACAGGCTGTTTCTTGCCATCTTTAACATCTTATGAAGCTGACAAAAGAAGTTAAAGCCTTATAATGATGGATTGTTTTGTGGGATTTCAAGTTTTGAAGTAAACATCTATGGGAGAACAGCACATTAAAGAGCCACAGAGGTCTTCAGCACATAGTCCCTAGTGTTGAGAGACCAATTACACTGCTAATCCATAACTAAAACTTGTGTTCTCTAGCGGGAGACTGGCATCACACATCACCCCCATAGGAGAGAGAGACAAGTGCAGCGTAAATAAATTAACATCAGTAAATGTATTTGACAGAATATAAAGTGGATGCTCTGCTGATACATAAAACCAGCAAAAGCACCTGGATACATATTGTATCTGTGAAATCTGGCTGCCATTGTAAATTCACAGGCCTGAATTAAAATGCTCATCCAAAAGTTGATCTACAGCAGACAAGGGCTTCCACACTCTGCAATGTTATTTTTGGTTTTGATGAACTACTGTACATGTTTACTCTGAAACTTGAACTCCCAAAAGCAAAGAAACCCAAAGTGCTTTACATACAGTATAAGAGACCTACTTCATTCACTACTAAAGTGCAGCAAGCACCTGGGTGACGTGTGGCGCCATGTGCTTGAGTCATGTGCAGTTTCACCACAGAACAGTTCAGGCAAAGAAAATTAGAAATTTCTTTATTAGCCGAAGTTAAAAAAGTTTAGTGAGGCCATGCAGAACAAAGTCATAGTGGATTTTAGCCAAGATACCAGGTTAACAATCCTGTTCTTTCAAAAAGGGTCTGGAGAATCCAATCCAATGGGAATCCGATGGGGAGTCAGCAAACATCTTAAATCATTATTTTAGTTTTGTATATACAGCATGTTATATGTTTTCTATTCCTATTATTGTTGCAGTTTTAGTTTTTTTAATGAGGTGTTTTTACTCACCTCAGGGGTTTGTTGCCATTTTAGCTGGGGATGGAAAGGGGTGTTTTGTTGTGGTTTATTTTTTTGGATTGTTTATAAAAGGGGGTATTTCATGTCAGGACTTTCTTTCAAAAGAAAGCATTTCCTACTGTACAGAGTTTTTGGTTACCGTATTGGGGTGCTGTTTGAAATTCTGGTCTTGAGGGAAGAGTCACCTACTGGTCTGCCAATTTCACTTGCAGCAATAACCTGGTTTCCCTTTGAGTCTCCAATGTCAGTATGGACCAGGCCCAACCTTGTTCAACGTTTGTAATTTGGCTACGAGGTAAAAAGGTTGCAGATTTTCAGTCATTAACTTTCCACTGAATTTAACCCTCACTTTGTATGTATATAAAACATTACAAGAAGTATAGTAGTAGTATTTTGGAATAAAAGCAATTTTCAACAAAGTGAAAGTACATGTTTCAAGGGGTACAATGATATGTTTTTTTCCAAATTATAACCTCCCATTAGAATTGAAGGAGAGAAATTGTGGGCTGGATTTGGAATAGTTACATAATGAATATGTAAGCTTGTTTTTTGCTTGCTTGCCTTGATATACTATTCTTTTCCCAATCAGCTAAATCTAGATAGTGATACAGTGAAACAGCAAAGAAATGGCAGTGACGGTTCATTTTCTGCTTTTTGACAGACATCATAAATCTAATCTTACCAGAATCGGAACTAGAAATACTCATACAGGAAGCACAGTGTTTGTGGAGTGCATTTGACTCTATGTTGAATTTGCATTAAAAAAACATCTGAAAATGGTGAGGCACTGGCCACTTCTAAAGTCCTATGACCTCCAACAACAAAAGGAAATGCTATGTGAAAATGTTTACTAAAACCCAGTTGAAATACAATTACACACAATTATTTATACAGTTTTAGAATACTATATCACATAAGGAAAATCTAAAATGGGCTCCTGGTAGAAATACGCAAGTGTAATGTTAATTATGAAGGACAATTTTAAACTATCTGCAGAAATGTGGTGCAGGAACTGCAGGAATTATGAACATAAACTAATTTATTCCAGAATGTGCATCACTGCCTAGAACAAGAAAACATAATAGGAAAAGGCAGAAGTTAATTCAATGCTGAGAAGAAGAAAAAGAAAAAAACTCCCAGAAAATATACCACAGCCAAAACATTGTTTTCTCTTTCTTTTTATATTTGGGACTTGAATTAACCTCCACTCTTCTTTTGCAGCACCCCCCCTCAGGACAAAGTCTAACAGTTTAGATGGAAAGGAAAGAAAATGTATAAAAGTATGTATACATTATTTTTGTTAGTAGGGTCTACATTTAATGGAGAAGTGATACTGCTCTGAATAACAACACTTCAAACCACAGGGCCCACTGTTGCAAGGCAAGCCAAGGTACCCATACAACCACTGGTAGGGGAAGCTCAGTCAAGTCAGCTAATGACACTGCCAAGACCTGAGCCACTGATATCTACCGATATCTATACCACAGGGCTTAACCTACACTACCAACAGGCCAGTTGCCATAAAAGTTTACTCTGGGTATCTACTGTATATATCAAAACAAAAAGAATTGATACAACTTCACCTCTCCCGCATTCTCATTGGATAGAACTTGTTTGTCAACTGCTGAACATTTTGCTTTGAATTGCATAAGTTATATGGTCCACATAGGGAAAGTAACATCTCGTAACCAAAAAAGCCAAGCAACCACTAAAGAAAAAAATCTGATTTTTAAGTAAAGGTTAATGTTCTGTTCATTTTGGTTCACAGGCTTTACTTGAATAAAATGTAAGACTTGCACATTTGAAATTAACTGTAGGTACTGTATAAATATCTGAGGTGCAATAATGAAGGCCAACCAATAACCACAGGTAGGCTCCTCTTATTAACAAAACACTTTTAATCCCTGGACAATTTTGAAAACACAAAAAAA